AGCCTGCAGCCTGGGTGACGGTCTGGGAAAGGGGTGGGGGGGAGGGGAGAAGGAACAGCACTGCCCACACACACCAACCCTAGCACCTTCAAGTCTCCTTTTATTAGCATTTTATTGGCAATCTCTATTACCTTCCTATAAGAAAGAGCTTTTTCCAGAATTGAATTGCTCCAAGTCTGACTCCAGACCTGTGCAAAGGGCCGTATATGCACAGTGAGGCGTTGAGTCTATTTTCCTGAACGGGAAGTTTTAAACTTTTCAAGAGAACCTTTTCAGCCATAGTAGTGCAGATGGGCAAAAGTTTTTGTTGGCAAGAAGAACCACTTAGGTGGTAAAAAGGAAAATGCTTTCTGGAAGCACCGGATCCCCCAGCGAGGTGGTCACCCACTGTCAGCATGTGTCCCAGGAGGTGTGTGGTGGCACAGAGCCAGCCTTGACAATCTGCACAGTGACTTCTGAGTTCCACCTTCCAGTTGGAGACACGTTTACCCAGCACCTGGGTCTAACCAAAGCTGTCTTTGGGGTGCGGCACGGTCTCAGTCCACTGCGTGGGGCCTGGCCCTCCCCAGCATGGTGTGCTGGGCCACGCCGGTGCAGAAGGCCGGTCTAGCTTTTGGGGCCGGCCTCAGCTTCATGGCCATCTCAGGGGCCCTGCGAACAAGCAGAGGGTGGTAAGTGCGCGACCCTCACATCTCCGCCCAGTGTTCTCACTGAGCTGAGACAGTCAACCCTGGGCTGGCTCAGAGAGCAGAAAAAGGACGGAAAGGTTGGGCTGGAGGCCTCAGTGGCTCATTTTCCTAGTGTTAAGGGGCGTGGGAGTACAGAAAAGCACCCCCCTGCTGGCCGTGTCTGAATCGGGCACTTCCACTAGTGTGGACATGGCAGTCAGCCTGCGGGGCTCTCTGGGAACGCAGGCTCTGTGAGGTGGGGCACCTCCACAGCAGAGTTGAGGCCTCTGCTCAGCACTAAAAAAGATGTGGGTGAAGTCAGAGGGCTCTAGGGCTCCCATCCCGACAGGCACCCTGAGAGGACAGGGAAGCCCAAGGCAGGTTCCAGCAGGCCGAGGCACTGCTTGGTGCCATCGGTGCCATTGTCCCTCAGCATGACAGGGTGACCTGCAGCGGTTGGTGTGCAGGAGGTGGCATCCCAGCTCATGTCCCTGACATTATTCAAGAGCTAATTCCTTCTCACTATCCGGGCAAGGAAGATATTTTACAACTGGGTTCTCTAAGGAGCTGGCCTGGCATCGTGTATGAGTAATGGGAAGTCAGTCTTTCCATGGATGGCTCCCCAGCACCCACGGAACCGGCTTCCTCAGGTTCTGAATGGCAGAGAAATGAGGTGTTCAGGGAAACAGTGGGAGGAGAATCCAACTCACTTGGACAGGACGTCCAGGGCCTGCTGGGTGGCCAGTGTCCTCTTGTCCTGTGGTCCGTATAGGAGGGTCTGAATCTGAAGACACTGCAGAACACCAAGCAGTAATCATGAGTGTGTGAAAATGTCACTGAGAGCATTCTGCAGGCATACAAGGCTCCCTAGAATGGGAGAAAGAGTACTCAGTCACAGGACCCTGCTGTGACAATCAGACCTTCAATATGAATGCCAGGGACAGTCCAACCTTCAACATGAACGCTAGGGACAGTCTGACCTCCAACATGAATGCCAGAGACAGTCTGACCTTCAACATGAATGCGAGGGACAGTCTGACCTTCAATATAAATGCTAGGGACAGTCTGACCTTAAACATGAACACTAGGGACAGTCTGCCCTTCAGCATGAATGCCAGAGACAGTCTGACCTTCAACATGAATGCCAGGGACAGTCTGACCTTCAACATGAATGCTAGAGACAGTCTGACCTTCAACATGAATGCCAGGGACAGCCTGACCTTCCATTTGGATGCTCTGAGGGATCCCAGAAACAAATGTACAATTTTAGCACTATTTTATAGAACTCTCTGTGACAACCTGTATGCAAAAATATGTTTGAAAGTAACATTTTAAAAAATAAAGGCAAGAACATTGATATTCATTAGAGGATGGTGTCTCGTTTCTATTTTTGAATGACCCCTTGCTACAGCCCAGACAAGTTTTTTTCTTTAAATAGTTTTGTTTTTGTAAACAAATTTTATTTCATATGGGCTTTCTGTAATCATTACTACAGCAACCCTGTAGGAATTTATTTATTCCAGAGTGAAATAGATTCTGCGTCATCCGGGGCCTGGTTCCTCCCGTCTGCGTATTGTCCAGCCATTTGCCCGCTTATACCTGGCCAGGGCAAACTCGAGGGAAAGATACAGATTCAATCTGTGCCCCAAGTGGCCAAAATAATTTTGAAGAACGAAGTGGAGGCGATTGCTTTGCTGTCAACACCTTTATGAAACTATAGTAATTAAGACGGTGCAGTTTTCATCCAGGGATAGACAGACCAATGGGACGTGGCAGAGAGCCTGACACGTGATAGATGTCAGAAGACAAGTCACCTTGAAGGGTCAGCGAGGAAGTGCTGAACTGGTCAATGAATGGAGCTGGAAGGAAATGGACCCCTGCCCCATACCAAGCACAAAAATGAATCCCAGGCTGATTGAAGAGGTACCTATGAAATGCGAAACTTGGAACTCTGAGACGAAAATATTGGAGACTACCTTTATGGAGAAGTATTTCTGGATAATATCTGGACAAACCAAAAGTTTTGATGAAATTTAACTACATTAAAACTCAAAACATCTGTGCACCAAAATTCACCTTAAGCAATGTATACAAAGACCAAGCAGACTGGAAGAAAATAGTGTCCCAAGCTGAGAAAGGATTAGCATTCAGAATATATAAAGAACTACCGTAAGGTAATGAGACAAACTAACACACCTCCCTATGGAAAAACAATCACAAGATATAAAAGGAGTATTCAGAGATGTTGAAAATAGAAGAGCTAATAAACATGCTTAATCTCACAAGTAACTGAAACTTCTAGAAGGTTGCCCTTCACCTACCGAATTGCAAAACGTGTAGCGCGATCATGGTAAGACTAAGCTTTGTCAAAGATATAAATGAGCGAGAACTCTTGGATAGACTGATAGTGAGGAGAGCGATTTAGTAATTTTACTAATGGGCAAGTAAACTGTCATATGCATGCGGACTGCATACCATGCACATTTGGGGGG